GCTAAGATATTTTAGCTACAGTAGGTAAAATTTTTGCTCTCACAGAAAAAAATTCATGCTGCCACAAGTAAATACGTTTTGCTGAAACGTGTTTGCTACCACAACAAAGAAAAGTCTTGTGGCTATATGATAGTTCAGTTGAAATTTTATTTTAGTCGACTGTCTATCTGTCCCAAGTGAGTTGCTTTGCTCGGGTAAGTGAATGTACTTTTTTAGAATTGATCCAATTGGGGTTAGTCAGTCCTTATTTGTAGCAAATTAGGGCTCACTTACTGTAACTGAGGCCTCACTTAATAATTTCCAGAATAAACCGGAATTCGGCTCAGTGCGCATGCGCGATTACGCGTGCCTTATACTGACCATGGTTTCGTCCATAGAGAAGTTAGAGGTATCGCCATTTTGCTGTAACACGTAAGCACTGGATATACGTTCGTCAATCGTTAGTCGATGGGTCCTTTATAATAAATAGATGTTTTGTGATCGAGTGTTGAGTCAGTTTTCAGTTGTCTAACAACCGACAGAAAGTTTTCAATTAGGGTATTTGCGTAGGTATGCAATAATACTTATATGCATGCGTGATTACATGCACACAATGCAGGCTGGATACAAACTCTTACTTCTCGAATGGGGATTTTCATTTTATGCTTGTTTGAAAATATGTACAACATTTAAGTTGCATTGCATGGTGCACGAAAGAGTGAGGAGAGCCAACAACACCGAAAAATAGTAAATACGGAGTTCACTCGCTTGGGGTTAATGAGTCGACTCGCTTAGGATTAATGAGGACTCGCTTGGGGTTAATGAGTTCACTCGTTTGGGGTTAATGAGTTGAGTCGTTTGTGGTTAATGAGTTGACTTACTTGAGGTAGCAAAGAGATTATAGCAAAACTGTCTACTTACTGCGAGTTCCTGCAAAGCAGTTTTTCTTGTGGTAGGAAAGCAGCTCACTTGGCGCCTATTTAATGCAGATATTTTGCTACGGTTAATGGATTTTTACTAACCGTAACAAAGAAATTCTTTCAGTGTAAGAGTTAGAAACCAGCATTTTTTCAAAAACAATTGATTATCTCAAAAACGGTATGTTTTAAACACAATGTACATTTAATAAACTCTACCTAATAATAACCAGGGAATTCAAAATGCAATAATATACAGGGTATATTTTCTTTACATGGCCCACATGATTCCAGACAACTTTTTATGAAAACTATTTTTTTATAATAAATTTTACAGTTACAGAGTTATAGAAGAATCCCTCTTAGGTGGAAGACCTTGTATAAAATAAGAATTAAGTGTTTTCCTCTGATTATGATTGATCATTAAGAAAATCATTATCTATTAGGAGTGAAAANCGTGATTTTTTTGGTTAGTGTATCTCGAGAAATAGCCACAAAAAAAACACCCTTCATTTTTTCAATTTTTTTCTCACTGTTTATATAGTTGAAAAACTATGAAAAAAATATGCAATATAATTCTTATCAGTAGCTTTCATATGCCGTTGGATTTATTCAAATATCTGTCATAGTTTTATAGAAAAATGATTTTGAAGTTAAGGGTTGCAACCCCATTTTTTTA